TCAACTTAAAAAAGAAAAAAAAGATATTTTGATATAATATATAATAATAAAGATACAGATTTTATACACAAATTCAAAGTTCCTTTAAACGAGCGAGAAGCTGCTCAGAATGCAGTAGAGGAAGGAGCAGCAGGGGCTGCCTGCTCCAGAGGTTTTTCACAGCTGATACTGAAGAAAGACTTCTGAAATTGCAGTCTTCTACTGGAAACCAAAGGAAGTAAGAAGGCGTCTCTATGTTTGAAAAAGAATTACAGTCAAGTTTGTAACAAATCAACTCACTTACTATTACTGTGGGACCTATTCCAGGGACACTTAGTAAAGTATTGTTTAAGCCAACAGACAGAACAAAAATGTAAGACTTGCAAAGCATTCTTCTCATTATGACATAGACATTGTGACTTTATTTTTTAATCAAATGCAGGGGAGAAAAAAATTGTTTTAACCAAGAAATACTCAGGTGTTTTTTCAAGCTGCCAAAATAACCTATTCTAAAACTGGCTTCTTTTGCTTATGAACAAAGTGATCAAAAGAAATGGAACATTCTTAATACCACTCATGCCTTAATATTTAGAGGAACACTCTATCTGTATTAGAAAATAAAGAAAGAAAGTAAAGGAAGAACAAAGCTCATTGATTTTGTGGTTCACCATGTCAGAGACCTATGTAATATTTATCACACCGGAGCCATTTAAAAGGAAGAAGACAGACACAAGAGAACTAAATTTCCAGAAGTCCAGGCAGTTTTACATGGCAGTGCAGTCTAGTGAATTTGCCTTTCATAAGACAAGTGTTCTATGCTCCCAAGTTAAATAAAGAATACATTTTAACACTCATAATTTGGGTTGGGACAACAGCCTTCTCAAAACTAAACCACAGAAAACTATCATAGGGTTGTTAATGCAACACTTCAGACAATTGTCTCACTACAAACATGTTGCCAATATAGTTAATTTAACTGGAAAAAATGGGTAAGTTTTAAATTAGTGCTATGCTTTTTTAGATGTATCATACTTTCAAAGGGCCAAGAATGCAATACACATCATTTCACTGTTCAAACATAGCAAATATCCTAATTCTTACCATATTGTAATCTCGAATCACTTCTGCCATATCCGTATTGGTGTTAAGTATATCCACAACCTGAAATGAGACAGAATTCCAACCTGTTATTGCTCTCTTTTTTTTAAATTACACAAAAAAAAATCAGACAAATAGATAGCAACTCACAAAGCGTTCATGAAAACACAGCAGTTTTCTGTTATTGAAAATGGAAAAAACATGATTTGGGAATCTGAATAGATTATATGCAGTTTTCAGGAGTAATCATCATTACATGTAGCTGTACAAAACCCACAAATATTACGCAGTAGTAATTTTTTAAATCCATATGCAACCGCTTCTGCTAATGCATAGTACACTTCCTTCTTTTTTCGTTTCCCTTAGTTTCCATCTTTTTCCTTTCCAATAACTGAATAAAAGGCAGCATTAAACAGTACAATTTTACAGAGAAATGCCAATAAAAAAGATGCTGAAGTAAAGCAAAAGCAGTACAAAGTAAAAAAGAGAAGGGAGAGCATTCAGTATCAAAAGTTGACAGCAGCATACCATGTTGTAGTCTGCTAGCTGACCTTGAAATTCTTTGATTTCACCAGCTAAAGTCTCTGCCCTAAATGCAAAACAAGAAGACAAACTTAACATGGGAAGATTCGTATATGTAAAAACAAAATAATGAAAAAAATAATTATTTAATAGTTCCTTGAAGCCTGTACAATATGCAACAATAGTCTTGTGACTGAGAAAGTTAGCACTGCATTACCTGCAAATATATCTCACCTTTTTTCATATGACAAATAGACAGATTTCTCTTGCTTGTACATTTCTACTTCTTCCTGAAGTTTGTTAATTTCTGTTGTGAGTTCATTTGTTTTGCTTCTGAAAAAAAAAAGGCAAAAAAGAACCATTAATGTTTGAATGTATAACTAAAACACAGATAGAATAAAAAAAATTATATTTTACTGTAGGACATGTGCAATCAGTATCTCTTTCTCACACTGCACTGTGTTTCAAATCAGTATTTCAAAGAAGAGCTGGATAAGTGAGGAAAAAAGCAGAGTGGTTCTATGAGATAAAACTGTAAGTAGTCATTAGAAAACCTGAATACGAAAGAAAATGTTTTAATTAGCTTTTTGTCTCAGACAGTAAAATAGATGTGAACTATTCTAAAATGGGCAGGGAAAAAAATCATAGTATCATTTTACAGAACGTGGATATCATCCATATTTAAACCGACATATTTTAGGACTGATTATTCAATACTGCAATATGATCAGCTGACAAAGTAGCATATGCAATATAGTTTCTGCAAAGCCTTGCCTTTGTCAGTGTTAGCTCAATGTATAATTCCAGTAAACCACCTGAAACGTACACTAAAATGTGCTTAGTTTGTGATGCTACTTCTTACAAATGGAGCTATCAGACCTATCAAGCGTTACAGGTGGAAGCTCAAAATCACTGACCCTCCTTTTACTATTGATGTGGGAGTGCATTTAACTTAGCAAGCCTAACAACAAAATCTCAAAGGAATCTACATGTGCTTGGACATAAACATAAAATTCCTTTCCTCCCACAAACTATATGCAAAATGATCTTAACTCTTGTAACAGGACAGAGTTCATTAAAAGTGACCACCACTTATCCAACATTATTGTTAAGCGTAACAAATTTCATGTCAGAAAGGGAACAGAGCATTAAACCTTGTGCAGTTTGAATGTGTTGTTAAGACATACCTCAGTAGTCCAAGGTAATATGTTTTATCCATTATCTGTCTCTGAGGACCTGACAAAGGACAGTTAGATGACATTTTGTAAGAAAACAACTAATTTTCATGAACTGCAAATTTTGAAAACAATCTGCAGAATTTACAGGCAGAGAACTGTCACCTTCTCAGTGTTCTTAAATAACTTTTATCTCATTAAAACAAAGGCAGAAATTAGACAGTTGTGAAGATAAATATTACTTTTTCAGCTATATGAATAGCTACTATATAACACAGTATTTTAATTATTCTGCAGTGTTGGAAGAAGACACAATTTATCTTGTTCTAATCTTTTGAATTATTTTTAAAGACAGCTCAGGCACAGAAAACCCTTTGTCTTCTCCGACTGCCAAGAGCAAAGAAAAAAAGAGGGATGTTTTAATCTGCCTTTCCTTTCTCCTACTCCTATTAATCATAGATATTCACTCTGCAATTTATACAGCAATGAAAAGTTTTTCTTTAAAACGTTTGCAGACACCTTGATAGCTATTTTCAGTAAAAAGTACCTTTCATTGCAGTTTTCATTCCACTTAATCCCTGTTGAGTCACTGGGCGGTCTGCAACTTTAATCTGAGATGATAAGACTCCACTAGTTGAAGAACAACCACGAGAACCAGGTCTTGATGTACTAGGAGGTATCTATAAAAAAACAACACACATCTCCCAACTCTGAATTATTAATTTATTATCCTTATGCAATCACCAAAGCAATTAAAAACTTCAGTTACTCTCTATACTGTTACTGTAAGAATCTTTTAGCATTTACATCTCTTCACAGTAACAAAGCTTCAGCCAAATATCTGCTGCAGAAGGGTATGAGATTACCTCTGATCAGCTCTTCATTGTTCCCTCTGTCTGTAGCATTAATGATATTAAGGTCTCCCACGTGAACACTTGATGCAAGACCTCCCTGACCCCCTTCAGTCAAAATTAGAAAATAAAACTCTCTACAAAATTAAAAACTTAAAATTCTTCCTGAGAAACTACCACTCCAGCCACGGTACTAAAAAAAAAAAAATACAAAGAAAAAGGATAAAAACCTAAATATATTGAAGTTAATGCAATTTTTTTACCATACCCCTGTTCCCACTCTGGTTGCTGATGGAGTCCTTGATGAAGAGGTAGGCCTTGTGGTCAGTCCTATTCCTGCTCTCGAAGAAGGACGAGCTATTGGAGGTCTGTGACTGCTGGCCATATTTGTTCCTTTTTGAACTTCTTTCTGGAAAGAAGGATAGAAATAGTCCTTTAATTTGCACAAGTTCTTTAAAACTACCAGAGATCAACTCTTTAAAGCTTTTATTCTTCCCCCTGTTAAAAGGAGTTTAGTTTTCTTTAGAAATCTGCAAAGTAGATTACTGGAAAGGCATGGCATGAGACAGAGACAGTGCTCAGAAAGGACCACAGGAGGCCCCTGAATAAGGCAAGACAGCAGTCCCTTTTCAGTACTTAGTCAGTCCTCAGTTTATATTGTCAAACCGGTAACTCCTGCTAATTCTTGTGGCATTTATTGTTTTAGCATCTGCCCACAGATTTCAAGTCTCTCATGAAACAAACTGGAAGGGAACAGCTGTTGTAAACATCCATTTGGGTTACCTGGAGACAGTCCTTCACGCATTACTAGTCACGAATGCAAACCCAGACCTTGCTACCTCTGATAAATCCTGGTAGCTTTCACTAGCCCCTTGAGAAGCTCCTCCCCAGCCGTAGCACAATGAGACAGCTTTTCGGTATCGGAAGCTGCCAGGTAGTGGCTCGGAGGGGTCTGTGAGATCGTGGGACTGTTGGCCATGACCTAAACAGGCAGGAAGTA